CGGAGCTTAGGTAACTTCTTCCGGAACTCGCAAAACGTACCAGTGAATCATGAAAAGAGCGAAAGAATTTGATCATGGATGCTTCTCCCAAAGAAATTGAAGAACCAAAAAATTCAATGAGCAAAATGTAAGAGACGTGGAAATATTTTATTGGGTACAAAAAGTGTAGAAAACATCAAGATCTAAATTTTCAATGTTTCAAAATTCTGTATCTTAAAAATTGAATGAGAAATGTGCTTTGGTATTTTGCATCATGAATTACACAATGTGCAAAATTTTACCCTCAAAAATTTCCTGGTTTTCAGGACTTGTTTTATGTGGAAAGTGCCTGTGTGTTTTCTTGCCTATTGTGTGGGGTATATGAGGTGTGTGGATTGTGTCAATAAACTATATTCAGCTTCAACCAAGTGTTGCCCAATTCTTTTGCTGAAGTTCAAGGATAGTAATTTAAAATTTAAAAAATAGCTAGCAAGCTGCTTAACTGTTTGCTGACTTTGTGAATCTTTGGTCCTGTGGTAATTTAATGGCAAGGTTATCAGTTTCTTTTATTTATCCAAAGGTTATTTCCAGGTTCCCCAAAGATTCCAGGTCAAGGTGGCCATAATCTATCTGACTGAAATTAAGATTTTATTTGTCATTCACATGACTTTGTAGGCCTTCATAAATCAATTGCTGACTCATGCTCTGAATTGCACCTCGCGGGTGAAAACTTTTTCAACTATGGATTATCATTGCGCTCAATTTTTCCAAATTTTATTCAAAAGCGGGGATACTAAGGGTTATTTCTGATTTTTTGAACATACATGCATTGAGAAGCATTTTAACATGGAGTCTAAATATACTGTAATTTGAACAGCTCTGCCTTGGTGATACGGGCATCACCAAAGATCGTGTGACGCTGATGAGTCCAAGGAAGTTTTTTCTTTATACTCATAGTACATATCAGGAGGGATATGCCTATTTTGGAGAGAACCCTTTGCAATCAAATCCGAAGTTCAAGAGGATGGCCTTCTTGATACACTCTCGCCGAGTGTAGGCTGACAATAGGACCAGAGCTAGCTTTATTACATCCCCTAGTTTTTATTTCTGTAGCATATTGGTCCTCTCCCAGCTTCTTCTTCTTCTTCTCCTACTTCTCCTTCTACGCCAACTTGTTTCTTTTTTCCGGGGAATGAACTCCTAAGACTGATTTCTGTTCAATCTGACAGGTCAGGGATTCATAAAGAAAAAGAAGACGCAGAAGCTAGATAGGAGCTAGACAAAAGCAGGACGATGCGAAGAAGAGGAAGAAAAGAGGATTACCTCAGGGCAGTTTCAAGCCCCGAATGAATCTTTGCGGACTGGACTCGAAAATCCGCGTTTATTTTTTTTTAGACTGAAAAGAGCGCGAAGTTCCGTCACTGCTTAGTTGAATTAAAGCTCCTCCGAAACCTGTCTTCAACTCGTGCTTTGAAATCCAACTGCAATTCAATTATTATTTTTTCTTTTACTTTCGAAGTTTATTTCTGCGAAGCGAACAGGAGTAACTGAGTTATACAGAGTCCAGGGATTTAGTTTTTGAAAGCCTTCTTTCTTTTCCTTCTCACTATTTTTTTCTGATCGGATTGCACGAGCACCATCAAGATTGTGTTTTTTCGTTTTCTTTTCGCATTTCCTTGTTTTGTGACAAGACATGATCATAATAATCATTCTGCCAGAATTTTTTTCAGTTTTAGCCACCAATATGTTTGATACACAGCTGATATTGCATTTGAGCAGAACGACCAATATAGGCATGCTGTAATTTCTTATCTTTGTTACCACTTATGATGATGTTCACCAAAGGCATCCTGTTTCAGAATACACAGGGTGGGCCAGAAAAAAGTGAACCAATTTTCAACTAACAATAGCTTAGTAGCAAATCACGCTGAGGCAATTAAACGGCACAAAAAATCCCAAATAACATTTCGTTTCAGGAATATCAGGATATACAGGGTGGGCCAGAAAAAATTGAAACAATCTTATACTCACAATAGCTCAGTATAGCGAATCAAGCTGTGGTAATTAAAAAACCAACAGAAATTGTCTTTGGTTGCACTTCTCACCCCTCACCTCTTGCATTTTGGGAATGTGTGCACTCTCTTGTGATATTCAAATTACTGGTCCTCCACGTCATCTATCCTAAAAACAGCTCTGAATATTGGCAGCTTACTGGAATAAGTTGCCTGACAACTCTTTTTTTTGGAAAGTTTTCATTCGAATGATTCTTGTAACCACATTGCGGCACTTGGCACCATTGAAAAGAGAACTTGAGAAACTTTCATTTGTTTATTTTTCATTGCCACAGCTTGACTTGCTCCTGAGCTATTGAGAGTTGGAAATTTGTCTACTTTTTTGGACCCACCCTGCACAATAATTTCACAAATTAATTCTCAATATGTTGACGACTACCATAAATTGTTTCTGCCCATACTCTATTGGAATCAGAACTATATCCAGTTTGCTGGACATTCAAGTTTGTATAATCAAATATCACTTATGGAAGTGATTATGAAACGATGCATTTTCTCAAGTAAAAAGTATTTCTAGACTACTGTACTTGAAGATTCCGGGATGAAAAGGATAATATTTACTTTTTTAGCAATGCTTGTTTACATTAAAAAAGAAATAATTGAGTATACCTTAGGGGATAACATTTTCTGGCCTGTTGGGCTGCCTCAGTGGTAAAGTGAAGAGGCTTTTTCCAAAAATAAGAAAGACGTGTCAAGATAAATCTTAAATTGGGTTATTGATAATCAGGATTACTGTATAGCATATGATTTTTTGTGTCCAGTCAGCCGCCGGTTGGTCAATTCACAGTCGCGCACCCTCTGGCCATCAAACGCCAGTTGGTCCAACCACCAGCCAGGGCAGTTCTTGGCCTTGCCAATCCCCAGCCCACCAAACTGAGGTTTGGTCACCCAATTGTTGGGGGCACCCAAACAATTGGGTGACAATAATCATGCTGATTTTTCTTTTTCAGAATTCAGTGAGCAGAATGGTATCCTACCACAGATTTTTTTTTTAATTTCAGCAATGTTAGGTTAGGTTAGTTTATGTTATGTTAGTTTAGGTTAGTTTAGGATATGTTAGGTTAAGTTAGGTTGGGTTTGATGAGTTTTTCTTTTTGTGAAAATTTTTATAAGGCAAAATTTTGTAAAAAAAAATAATGTGTGGTAGGATACCATTCTGCTCACCAAATTCTAGGAAGAATCAGCATGATTCTTGTCACCCAATTGTTTGGGTGCCCCAACAATTGGGTTACAGGACTGCCATTTGGTGGACTAGGGATTGGCGAGGCCAAGGACTGCCCTGGCTGGCGGTTAGACCAACCAGCGCTTGACAACTGGCAGGTGCACAACCATGATTTGACCAACTGATGGATGACCTGGTATCACGCAACTGTGATTTGACCAACTGGCGGATGACCCGGTACCGATTTTTTTTAGCCTCAGACAGAAGAAATTCTTTACTTCAAGAGAGGGGAGAAATATGTATTACACACTGGATGAATTATGCTGAAAAAGCTGGATAATTGTATCCAGCAAGTCAACCAGCCAGTGAATTTGATATAAAGTTCAGCTTCAGTCATTAAAGCTTTGGAAACAGGCTTTCAAATCTCACTTCCCTTTTGGAATACTGTACCAAAAAAAAAAAAACCTCAGAACAAGCATACATTTAACGATGCTGTAATTATCCAGCCTAAATGATAAGCTCTTCGAGACGAAAAAAGAAGGATATGGAAACATGTTGCATCCCAAAAATAGGCGATTTCAGCACAATCCGAATTCATGTGCCACGAAATCTCCGGATACCAGCAGACGGTTTCCAAGAACAACGCGAGAAAGCGGAACTTGGATCAGTTTACGCCAAAAACATTTGCTCCGGGGGAAAAAAAAAGTTGCTCGCTTCTCTTATTGTAACCCCACACCGGGTAAGTTACGACGCAGAAAAGTTTGGCCAGTCCCTTTTTCCCCGAAATCAAACAAGAAAACTTCCTTCTCTTCTTTCCTTTTCAACTCAGCTAGAACACCAGAGAAACCCTGTTTACAGGAGTGAGTGTGGAAGGGAGAATATTCACTGAGAGTAAGATGCACTAAAAAAGCAAACTTTGAACTGATTCTCTCTGCTTGGTGAAATTAGAATCTCTGGTAATTTGGGACTTTAAAAATTTGATGAAGAGTTTCTTTGCAAAATATCAGATGACCAAGATAAATTGTTAGCCTTATGTGATTTCTCCTCAAAAATGATCTCCAAATATATTTATTGACTAAACCTTATCTGGGAGCAGGCTGAACACATTTTGCTTTGATTTGTGTTTGTCAATTGCATTATGATGTAATTGTTATCACTGATATTTCATTTTTGTAATCTAGTGAGGGAACAAACTGTATGCATTTAAATCAGTTGTGCATTTTTACATTTTGTTATGTACAGTATTTTTGTTTTTGTTAATATGAACAGCTTATTTCTCCATTCTCATTCTGATGTGATGGAATCTGTTTGGATGAATGTTGGTGAGGAGAGGGGGGGGGGGGTTTGGAGTGGAAACATTGGTTTAACCTTGTGAATGCTGAAACATGGAAAATGAAGTTAGTTTATCAAATAATCAATCAAATCTCTTGTATTTCATCCCTAAATTTACTGAATAGACAAAATATTGTATTTGATTCAAACATTTTATGAATTAACTGGATTCAGTTATATCATTCTATTGTAGGACTGCATGGACTCTAATTGCCAAGCTGTTTCTTTCAAAGCCAAAAACTAAATTGAAATTACCACAGTGGATTCGAGAGAAATATCTACAGAAAGATACGGAAGGCGAGAAAACTCTGACAGGAGTCCAAGGTACTGAAATAAATTCATTGAATGGAGATTCTCATTTTTTGTTGAGCTCCTCAAAAAATAAGGCAAAGCTTCTTTGAGCCATTCAAAATGCTTCTTGCTGAGAATGTCTTTGAATGTGCACCATTTAAACGGTCGATGTTGAAATAAAAAAATATATATTCTGATAACTGACAAATGCTATTAAATCAAAATATACCTAAAATTGATGTTAGCCAGCTACTGAGACGAATTAGTCCTTTGCAGTTCCCAATTTCCTGCGACTGAAGCTAATCTCTCGGCTTAATAACAAGTTGATCCATTACTTTAGTAATTGTTTCGATGTGAAGTACTAGGAAACATTTATAAATGGCTATTTAACGTGGTAAATTATTCAAATTAGAAAAGGAATCTACCCTAAAAATTCAGTGAAAATGTTTCTGTTAGCAAATATTTTCCAGGACTTGATCAATGCTGGTTTTATTTCTGCGGCTCTTAGAATCGCTCATTCAGCACCTTGGGGGGATTTTTAAATTAATTGTGATCTGCTTGAAATATTTCATGAAATGAGTCACAAACCAATACATCCTGGAAAAATAAAGAGTAACCTAAATAACTATAGGTCGATATTATCTCTTGTCAGACACAATTTAAAAGAAAACGCGGAGATGTATGCGGACTAAATATTTTACCGGCTACCCCGTGGTTCCCGCGATTCTTTAAGATCACAAATGTAATCGAACTCTTTCAGAAGATTCCTCCGAATAATTCAGGAAAAACATTCAGAATGAATATTCTTGTGGAAGAGATCTGGACTTGAGTGGACTCCTTCGACGCCATGCTTCAGTGCGTTGCCTCTTTGAAAAGGGGGTTGCAACTATAAGGCAAGAAAATCTGTAGAAAAAGAATCCAGTTTATTTTGATGTTCAAATTTTATTTAATTTCTGAAATCCATGTCATCCGGGTGTTTGCACTTCCGAACAAGGGATTATTCCGTGGCTCCGGGGTGGAGCATATGTTCCAAACATGTCCTTTGTATTCCTCTCAAAGCCGCATAACAAGCCTGATATACTGTATTCAGAAAATTGCAAATCAACACCACTCTGAAAGAAAGAAAAACATTCTAAAAAGCATACCTATAGAGAATTTCATTCATGCAAAGCCTGTCTGATGTCTGTTGGCAGGAGTCCACATTTTCAATACTTCGATGCATAATAAATGAATCTAACAAATCATGTTATAGAGAAAGATTTTTTGGGTCCTTATTAAACCTCTCCTATCTCCCGAATCTAATTTCCCCCCATTACCTTTGGAAAAAATGATGAATCCAAATACAAGTTGCGGATTCAGCTAGCAGTGCGTAAAACACGGCTTCAATACAATAATGCAAAACTTATTTGTATAAGCAGCCGTTATTCTTCAATTTCAGAGCACTCCATTCCATGCAATCATTAATATTAATCCGGAACACCCTCTTAATCTGACGCATGATGACAAATACTAGTAGAATTGGACCAAAAGCTTATTTAGGATGCTTATTGGTAGTTGAATTTCCATCACAGTTTTGAAAAGTATATAAACTCATATATGTGTCAGGGATTCCCCCAACCCAAGAGATTTTATGGGTGAAACACCACAATCTCCCTGGGATTGGCTGGGAGCCTCTTTATAAAGGCTCCAAGAAATTATTAATACTTTATTTTGTTATCCTTTTTACGTTATTTTTACTTTAAAAGACAACAACAATGAATAAAACTAAGGGAACGTTAAAAGAGTGTCTGGCTCTTTTAGAGGTTCTTAACCCCTTGATTGCGGAGAGGTGTTTTCCAACGATGCGAGACCTTCAAGAAAATAGACAGGCTTTTCACCCAATAAATGCTTTTATTCAAGCACAAAGACAACTCAGACAAAACCAAGACAATGCGTCTGGAGAGAAGCCTAAACAAATCTCTGACTCCTGAAGAGGATCTGTGATCAACTGACTTTGGAAGAGATTTGCAGGGGTTTTTATATTGCTAGTCTTGGAGGCTGGTTCAGCCATGTGGTTATTAGAGTCAATGACATAAAGGGGTCATAAGTCTAGCCAGGAACTTTGTGCAACACCAGTCTAGTATTTAATGGAAACTCTGTTGCTGAGAGGGGGCTGCTGGAAGGAGTATCAGGTAACATGGAGGCATACATTGTAGTCTCGAGAAACAGTACTGGAATGCTTGACTCTGGTT